CCCCCCCCCGCCACAAGCTGCTGCTGGGGCTCTCCCACAGGGTCTGCGTCCGGGCCTGCCGGGGACCCTCGCCCTTCTCCGAGCTCCGCGGGGTGCTGGTCCCACCGTAATGGCGGGCCAGGACCTGGGCTGCCCGGTCAAACTCTCCCGCCTCGATGGTGCAGTCGTTCCAGTGCCCCTGCCACGGGGTCCCTCTGGGTGCTGCCCCCAGCCCCGAAGCCCAGACAGGGTCCTCTCCAGCGCCCTCGATGGCGTGTGCCTCTCCATTGGCACGGACTGACAGTCCTGGCAGCGAGCTGGCCCCCGACAGGCTGCTTTGCCCAGAGTGGTCCCAGAAGCTGGAAGCTGCCTTGTCCTCTCCGTGGGATGCTCCTAACGCTGGAGAGACCTCGTCCTTGGTCCCCTCACCACACGGGAGGTCTGGGCCATCGTCCCCCACCTCGCTCCCATTGGTTTCAGAGAAGCTCATCACCTGGAGGAGCTCGCTCATCAGGGAGGGCCCCAGGTCCAGGCGGAAGGAGAGCAGGGAGTCCGAGCGCTTCAGCTCTGCTTCCCCAGGGAAGGCGCTTTCTTGGGCCTTTTCCAAGCGAGGGACGCGAGGGATGGTGCAAAACCCGGACTCCAGCCCTGTGAGGCAGAAGCAATGGCTGGTGAGAGGGGGTACAGCTAGGTGGGAGGAAGCCTGCCTTACATCTGCGGGGGACAAGGGACACTGCCACCGAAGTGGGGCTGGTCACACTTCCATTGGTGGCACTGGCCTCTAAAAGACAGGCCAGTGTCTGTGTGGACATCGCCAAAGCCCAGAGTTACAGCAGAGGGTCTCCAGGTGGCCTTGGCCTGGTAAGATGCTGGTGGGGGCTGAGCCAGGCAGGTGGGACCAGGAGATGGCAGCATTGCCTCAGCTTGCCTTTCCCTCTGAGCTCAGCCACCTCCCTCGGCTGCTGCAGGCCCCCCAGATCCACCCCCACCCCCCGAGACCTCTGCCCCAGACATCCCTCCCTGGGGAAAAGCTGAGCCACAGCCCAGTGCTGTGAGGCCGGAGAAGAGCCACCCAGCCGTCCCATCCCATTCTTCCCACAACCCTTCCCCAAAGGTCCCTCCTAGACCCCGGCTGGCAGGGATGTGAGTGCAATGGGGGAGGTGGGGACCAACATCTTTGAGGAGCACATGGAGATGGAGGGGCTTGCACAGCTAGGGACAGGGTTGGGCCATCGGCATGGAGGTGGGAAAGGCCATGTTGTGAGGCCCCCTTGACCTTGCTACCTTGGTGTGGCATTGCCCCGTTGTCCCAGCACCCTCTTGGCTTCCTCGGGAAGGCTGCTCATGGGGAAGGCGTAGGGCTGGGGGGAGATGGGGGACACCCCCTTACAACTGCTCCACACAGGCTGTAAGCTGCGTGGGGCTATGAGGGAGGGAAGGAAGAGAAACCATCCCTGCCCCACTTTGGGGGGTACCCTGGGAGGAGACCCTCCAAGGGCAGGAGGAAGGACAGCAGTTGAAAGCAAGGTTAGGGTTATCTCCTCACAGGGACTCTTAAATGTCCTGTCTCTGCTGAGAGCCTCAAGTCCCTCAGTGGGGAAACTGAGGCACGAGCAATGGAGAGGGCCTGCAGAGGATGCGCTGTGCCTGGGTGCCAGCCCCTACCCTGAGCTTCACTCACCGTAGGCCTGGTGTGTTTTGGAGAAGCTGTTGGAGGCACTTTTGAAGGAGAACTTGCTGGTCAAGCCCCGGCCACCGCTGCCGTCATATGTCCCCTCGTTGAGCTGCGGCAGTGAGACAGCATTCTTGATGATGGGTGAGATGGCTGGGGGGGCGGGTGATGCCCCAGCTTGGCCCCCGCTGCCCCGGCTCCTCAGTGGTGTCCGGCGGACGTGCCGCAGTGTCCGGGCAAAGAAGTTGTTGGCTTTGGCCGTATCGGCCCCACCGTGGTTGCTGAGGAAGGAGGTGTCCCCGAAGACATCCCCACCACGCCCCACATGCATGGTGTGCCGAAAGTCCCCCAGCGGTGGGCTGATCATGTCCGGTGTCAGCTCTGACTTCAGCCGCCGCTTGCCATGGGAGCCCGACACCCAGCTGAGCATTGGCAGCTTCCCCAGGCTCATGTTGCACCCCTCACCTCACCTTGCCCCTGCAAAAGCCCCAAAAACCAGCCCTCACCAGGCTTCCAGCACCGGGGTGGCCTGTCACATCCCTGGCCTCCCCATTGCTCCTGCTCCGATGCTCTCAGGGGAACGGCTCACGTCACCTTGGCTTTCAGTGGGTGGGAACGGTGCTTGTTGCCCTGCTTCCCTGCACTTCGTTGTTCTCATGAGATGACCTGCAGCGGGTACGTCCCCAGTGTTTAGGATGGTGGTGGCATGGAGGTGTCCCCGGGGCGGGGGGTCCGGGGTCACTCCCGGTGCTGCGGCGGCTGCTGGAAGCTGCGTCTGGCCACAGGCTTAGGGCTTAATCCGCCGACTTCTTCTGCCGCTGCCGCATGCGTGGGAGCTGGTCACAGATGGGGCAGGGGGTGATGGGAGTTTGGGGTGGGCTGGCAGGGCAAACGTCTCAGTCCCCTCGTTGGCCACCTAAACAAGACGAGAGGAACGGTGAAGCCCTTGGAGAGGATTTTTCCCAACCATGCCGGCTGTATCCCCAGGACTGGCTGGGGAGGTTAAAGCTGGTGCATGAGCAACGGTGGGGAGGTTGCTACCTGCTGTCCCCCTCGCCTGGCCCTCCTCTTGAGGAGGAAGAAATAGGCTTTCCCCCCAAAACATGTGCTCTCCCTCACCCCTCTGAACTCCCTTGGCGTTTCCTCCCAGTTTCCCCTGCCTGCAAAGCAGCTTTGCTGGATCCATGCTGCAACCCAGACTGAGGATTTCCCTCTCAGGCAGCACCTCCTCCTGGAGCAGTACCCTGCCCGGCTGTCCGGGCTCCCAGGGCGAGAAACCTCTCCCTTCTTTTTGCTATTCATATGAACACTTCAGGAGAGGGTGAGGCCTGGGGAGCGTGTGCTTCTCGGGGAGGAGGGGCGGCAGGGAGGGAAAATGCGATATTTATATACTGGTTTGTTTGTCCTCCCCTGGCTGGATCCCCAGATGCTGAGCAGACACGTTGGAGCAGCAGGGAGCCGGGGGTGCGAAGAGGGCAGCTGCTTTGCAGGCAGGGGAAACTGAGGCAGGCCAAAGGAGGTGATGGCTCGAGGTTGGAGGAGAAGGTGGGACGGGTCCCTGTGCTCAGGCAGGTCCCGGAGGTGCTGGGGGACAAGAGGGGAGGCAGTGGCTTGGTGCATGACAGCAGGGTGATGACCTCTCTGGCCAGTGGGGAGATCACTCAGATCAGCAGATCCCCTGTCGGTGTGGCAAGAGGGAGAGGGCAGGCTGGGGAAAGGAGAGGATTTGGGGCGCAGGGCACCTCGGAGCATCAGTGGTCCAGGTGCCTGCCTAGGGATGTGACCCTCCCTGGGCTCTGTCCCCGCTCAGGGGCCGGGGGAACAGGATGGAGCTGGGTCCTTTCAGAAGGGCTGGTTACTGAGGGCAGCATGCCAAGAGGCGATGCAGGAGCCTTGCATCCCTCACTCCCTGCGTGCTGGGACCCCCATCACTGCATGGCTCCGCCGTCTCCCCCTCTGCCACGCTGCCTGCCTCCCCCGTCTGTCCCTGGGTCACCTCGGAGCCGATGGCTGGTGCCAGGGAGGCAAAGCCACTGGCGAGGGGGAGCCCTGGGTATGGAGTTGCTTTCCTGGCTGGCTACACATGTTTTCACTGTGCCCTGGCCTTGTTTGCTCACCCGGGGCCCCTCTTATCTGCCAGGGGTTAATGCCTGGGGAAGGGAAAACAAACCTCCCCCGGCAGCTCCCAGCACCATTGGCTGCCTCCTGGGGTGGCAGTGGCCATGGCAGTGGAGACTGTGGCAGGTTGGCTTCCTGCTGGCCCCCAGCTCCCTGGCTCATGCTGCCCGCGTCTGCCTCCTGCTCACGGAGGCTGTGCGGTGCTGCCTTGCAGCTGGGACAGGTCAGGCACGTGGCAGATTTGGAGTGGGAGGACAAATGGGGAGCAATTTGCTCTCTCTGGCAGAAGCCCACTCATAGACACTGGGTCAGGGCTCTGCTGGGGTGCAAGAAAAGCCACCGGCGTGGTCCTTGCAGCACAACAGGGCTCTCAGGGCCCAAAGTGGGGACTGTGCCCTTCGGCGGTGGTGCCCACATGATGCGGGGCATATGCTGCACTGGCTAGGGCTAATCTGAGGGGTAGACCCCCCTCACCCCACCTCAGGTCCCCCGCACAGCGTAGCTGCCCTGCAGGCCCCAGGGACGGGGTGGGGAGGCGAGGGAAGGGGGGATGCGGGAGGAGAGCATCCCCTGCTCCCTGTCTGGAGAACTATTGAGCTGGGAGCCAGGAGGAGGAAAGTATTTCTCCTTCCTTGTCCCTTGGCCACCACAGGGACGCAAGCCAGCACCTCCTGGCCCCCGGCTCTCCCTGCCTGCTGGCAGGCAGCAGGCGCTGGGAGAAGAGGGAGGGAGGGACGGAGGGAGGGAGGCAGCTGGTGCCCAACCCTACCTGGATGGCAAGTTTCTGGCAGGCCTGTTGGGCTTTTTCTCTCTCCAATCTCCCCCATTTTCCTCCTTCCCTCTGCCCCAGTGCGTCTCCCTGCCGGCTGTGCCCCTTTGAGCCCTCCCCTCTGCCCAAGCGAACTCCTCCACGCCAGGGAAACTCGTGATTCTGCGGGCAAAGGGTGACCTGCGTGCTCTCCTTTCCTCCACTGGGCAAGGGGACCCCCCGTCTGGCCACCCGTCCGTCTGGACACCACTTCCGTCTGGCAGCCCGCTGCATTCGCCAGACCCTGGCATGGCGAGCCCGCAGCCCATCCCAACCTCCCCTTCCCCGGCATCCTCTCCCTGGCTCCCTCCTCGCCTCCTCTGGGAAGCCCCCTTTGCCCTCAAAGACCAACCCCTGGCACCTCCTCCTCCTCCTCCCAGCCTGGCCTCCCCCGTTTCCCCCCCGAGTTCAGCTGGTTTCCACTGGTTTTCCACTCGTCAGGAATGGCCAGAGCTGTTCTGCTTGCTGGGAAGAGCGGAAACCAGAAGGGGGGGAAAATAATCCAGATGTCTAGTTGGCTGGAGCTGCTGAAAGCAGCCTCTTCCCTCCTCCTCTTCTCCTTACACCCCCCCCCAAAGGGGACATACTCCAAAAGAGGGCGAGGAGATGTTTGGGGTGGTCTCAACAGGGGGAAGAGCAGATGGAAATGGCTGTGGGCGGCCAGGAAGGCTTTCCCAGCCTTCCTGAGTGCCGAAAAACCTCCCTTTCCCTGGAGGAAGGGAGGCAGAGGCTCCCCCGTTGGGTCACTGGTCTGAGATGGGGAAAGCTGGCAGGGATAGGCTTTTGGGGAAGGGGGAAAGGGGCTCGGCTGGCTGGGCTGGGCCTCTTTCAGCTCCCCTGGAGCAGTGCTGGGCAGTAGGCGGACAAGCCTGAGTCTGACTCCCGTGCTGCTGGCTGATATATATATATATATATATATATAGTTATATCTCTCCATATAACAACGGTATTTTTCCAAGCAGACGAGCTGGTACGG